AGCTCCTATTGATTACATTCACGTATTCTGATGACATTATTGGTGATTGAAAAGAAGATTCTGGAAATGTTTGCCCCAAAAAGCTCAAGTCCCTTAATAAAAACTTCCATAATATCAAAAGACCAAGTGATGGGTAATATGGATTGCAAACTCCTGTCTCTTATCTAAGTTCCTCAAGTTGTGAAAAGCTTTAATGAAAAAAACTGAGGTCTAAATGTTTTTTTTGAGATATACCAATCTGGTGTTAACTTAAATGAAAGACTAGTTGGATTGACTCATCTGATACCACAGGTGATAAAAAAGAAGATTTCTTCCAAGGTTCCAGTGAAGTAAGAAGACTATTCCAATCAGGCAGATTCCTTTTAAGAAGAGATTGTTTTTATATTTGGATTTTTTGGTGAACCTTGAATTGTTCTCTTTCCCCAATCATTTTTCTCCTTTTCCCTTTTTAATTTAGCAATTCATTGGTTTTTGGGCAATCAACAGTGACAAACTATTGGTAATAATTTTAATAGATAAAGATTATTATCAATCTATTAGAAAAGTGAAATATTGTATCCAAAATCTGACTTAGAGTACTTTTGTATAAAGATGAGTTAGTCACTTTGAAAAAGTCTATAAAATATTGTAAATTCATTTCAATTTTTCAATAAAGATATGCCATTGTGGCATAATTGCAGGTTAAATATATATATATATATATATAACTTCAATTCTATACTCTTTATTATTAAATAATTAAAATCAATCAATATTTAGCATCAATTCTAAATACTAATTAACTATCTCTTTATTAAAAAATAATTTTAAATTTTTATTTTTAAAAGTTTTTTAAATATTATTATTATAGGTATTATATAAAAATTTATTAATACTTAATTGATCTATATAATACTAAAAATTAAATTCGAAATTCAGATTTTAATATATTTATAACAATTGATACTGAATAGTAGAATATGGAAAAACTAAATTGAATCAATTAATTACATTTCTGTTTAATAATTTTGATTGTGTAGATAATAAAAAATTATAAGTTTTTTTTTTATTTTATTGCTAAATTAAATAAATTTAATATGAATACACCTTATAACTTATAGTTGATTATTTTTTTGAAAATAAAGAACATCTTTCTATCTATACAATTTGTAATATCTTTGATATATCACAAAACTAATAAACTAGTCTAATAATTTAAGTATATTGTTGATGATATACAAAGATGTACAAAAGAGCTCTAATTTTTTACTATCAATTTCAATTAGTATCAATTTCATAAATTTTATAATGCATCTGTTGCACTATCTAATAAATTAAATTAAATTCTATAATTCATAATTCATAACAAAATCTATATAAAATAATTATTTAAAAATTTGCTAGAATTTAGAGAAAATTCATATTTTGAAACCAAATAATCTTTAAATATATCATTTATTTTTTTATTCTTATTAACTTAAGATTTTTAATTTTCAAAACTTGCACTATTTAATTCTAAATTTTATTGATTATTGCTTAATAACATACTTAATTTAACTTGATAAAATATTTTTTATTCTATATTAAAATATGAATTCTTCATTTATCAAATTTTTGTTTTTTGATTTTAATATCTATAAAAAAATTTAGTTTGTAAATTAATAAGTAATTTATTGCATTTATTATAATCTTAAGTAACTTTTATTTTTTTAGAATTTTTTCTTAAACTTTTGTTAAATAAAGTTAAAATTAAATGCTTTTTTGATATTTTTAGAAATTGGTAAATATTAATATAAAGTGATAAAATTATAATTAATATATTAAATAGCTTTGAATTGTAATATATTATACTGTAAGTATAATATAATAAATAATATATAGTATAATATAGTATATAATTTCAAATTGTAATATAATATAATAAATAATAGTATAATATTGTATATAATTCCAAATTAAATTAAAATAATGATCTGTGGATCAATAGTGTAGTAAGTGCATTTTCAGGTTACCATCCACGAGATACCAGTTCAATCCCACTCAAGAATGGTTTTTATAATATAAATTACATTGTATAAGATATATGCTATTCAGTTATATGTATACTTGTATATAATCAATCTATAGACCTATGGGTTGATAGCACAGTAGTAGCACTCTCAAGTCTCTATGTACTGTTTCTGAGTTCAATACCACTGTGAGGCAGTACTATCTAAGCCTAAGTGGTACGGGAAGATAACATTCACCCCATGATGATGATCACTGTCACCTCTGGTCAAGATCCTGTTCAATCACAGGATAATCAAAAGATCATAAGATGCTTTAGCTGATTTTAGTGCTGAAGTCACCTCGTTACAAGACAGGTTCTTACAAGCTTCTGCAGATAAGTTAAAGATCTGCATACCATTATTTGAGGAGGCTAGCGGAGCCTAAGCACATTAGTTAAAAGAGGGTCTCTATTAAATCAATATCCATTCAAGACTCCACGTAATCACTCCATAGGTAGGCTATAATAAGTCATGTAAAAAGAGTGCTCTGGTAGGACGAGATGACATCTAAGACTCCATGTGGATATTCCATAGGCATACTGTAATAAGTACTATAAAAAGAATATTTAACGAGATGAGATATGAAAAGGATCTTGTGTTATAGACCCCGTACCTGTAGAAATAAAAATAAGGGAAAAGTAATACAGATGTAGGTAGGGAAGTAGTAGGGCTTTTTCTGGCAACAAGCCATGATGGGGCTTAAGTGGTCAATCAGGTTTTATTGATATAATGGTAAAGTGTGTATAGCTTGCATGCAGTTAGCAGTAAATACTGATTATAGAATCACTCTGTATATTAGTAGCTATATATATAAGGCCATTCTATCGACTTCAATAAAACTGGGCTTCGTTATCTTTTAAAAAAATATATATATATATAATTAATCTATAGAAATCATCATTCGATTATAGTATAATAAATCAGATTATACAGGACCTGGTCAGTTTTAGTATTAAGAAAAGAAGATCCTTGTTATTTGAAATATAGAAAGATATTAAACAAGTCAGGAAAGATTCTAATTAATCCAATATTATCAATAAATATATATAAAATCCTCTTCTTCTCAAAAAATATTTTCTATAAGAGATGCGAGACTTAGATTATTAATACCAATAAAAAAGATAATTAGTATGAGCCAGAATGTATTATAGGAAATCATATAATTGTTGAACCAATGGTTATTAAAAAGAAAAGTTGATACTTAAGTCAATATTAGTGTTAATGTTATAATGAGAACTGTAAAGATTAATATATTTGAAAGAAACTTCAAGGTTTCATTTAATCAAGAAATATCCTTGAAAGGTCATATTTGAAAAGTGATTAAAAATAATATAATAGAAGACTATATATTGATCATGTGAATATGTTATTGAATTGTCAAAATATCAATACATACTATTGGCCTTGTATAATTAGAATATAATCAACCTTCTTAGGACTTAATATGGTAAAATATTTATCACAGTACCCATAATGACTTGAACAATATTATTATCTAAGAAACATACATTATAAAACTTTTTATTTAATATTAATAAAAGTTTATTAGCAAATTATTAGAATATTAAATATCTGAACAAAGCAAAGTAACCAACAAAATGGTATCAAATATAGTAAAATTGGTTAGATCAAAATATAGAATTAAAATTGATATAATTAAATAGATTAGGTGAATAGTTTATATAATCAAAAGTTTATTACTACTCAATAAAGATCGATTTTTATTTATTTAAAAATTAACTCATCCCACACCTTTATTAAAAAATGATTATATTTAGAAACAATCAAAATTAATATTTTTCCATATTGTCTAAGGATTTACAGATCACTAAAGAGAAATAGAATAGGGAGTTATTTATTTTTATGACTTGATTTATATTTAATCTAATCAGAATAAGAAAAATATATGATTGCCTAATATAAATATTTCTTTTTTGAAAATAAAACTAAAAATAAATAAGATACACTGGCCATGCATTGCTAACTCATCCTTATAATTAGAAATCAATGTTATTTAAAGTACACTAATGCATCCACTGATTGACTTGTTTATAAGTATAAAACTTTATAATTAAAAAATAATTCAAATTATAAAGAGAGCAAATTATTTTTCTCTAAACTATATTTAGAAATAGATAAACTAATATGTGAAAGTTATTTAAATTATAATTATTTTTTTTAATATACAATAAAACAATTATATTAGCTTGATAGTGAATTTTTTTTTTAAAAAAAAAACCTTATAATTATTTCTAAGATTGATTTATAAAATATATTTTGTTTCTTTTATAATTATTAAATTATAAAAATTATTATTAGTAAGTTGCTAAATTAATTATCTATCAATTACAAAATTTCAAAACTAAATTATATATATAAAAAAAAAAAGATTTATTATCAAATCATTATAAACCTCTTTTAAAAAGTAAAATAATTTTATATAAAGTAATTTTATTAATTAGACTATTTAAAGAACTTATCTATTGACCTTTAAAAATATATATTATCTAAAAAAAATTTATTATCTTGAGTTCTTCAAATATCATTAAAAATCGAACTTATTGTAAAACTAAAATATTAATTTTTTAGCTAGTTGAAAAAAGACATTATTGAACTCTAATAATGTTTTCAAAATTAGAAATAAATGATAGGAATGAAATACAGTAGTTTAAAAATATTTTTTTAAGTTTGAAGAAGACATGATGTAATAACTAATTTCGCTTAAAATTTGTGAAGCGATTTTGATCGATTTGATCGTTGATTACGTGACATGACGATAAAAAAATTTTCGCGATACGATAACTCGCACTAAATTTAAGCTCGTAAGTATATGCGACAACGATAATGCGAATTTATTAATATTAGATATACTGCGCACAATAAACCGAACCATATATGGTTCCTGCGGAACCGCAGTTTAAAGAAATTATTTATATTACGCAAATACACGACGCATAACTACTCAAAAAAAAGATGGACACGCGAATTGACGAGCAATACGAGAAAAGGTACTCGCGTAAAGTTTAATTTTTTTGGTTTCATGAACTCAGCTCATACTTTTCTTCATTTTCCAGTTCTGTAAATATCGAGCACACACTCATTTCTGAGAGCTCCGAGTTCAACGATGTGGAATTTTACACTGTTACCGAGAAGGATCGCGAAGAAGCTCACTCCCTAATCAGTTCACTTTATGAAGCAGCCAAAGGAAAAAGAAAGGTGCGCACCGCAAAAAGAAATGAATACACTCATCAGTCTTCCGGAATTATTATTTCGTCCTGGAAAATGAACGAGTGGGATTACAAGAAAAGTAGGGTTCCTACCCAAGCAAGGGGTTTATTTACGAGACACGTGGACGATCAGTACGAAATAGTCGTTCGCGGCTATGACAAATTCTTTAATATTGGCGAGGTAACAGATACCAAGGTATTTATAAATTCATTTTCATATTCTCAATTAGTAAATATTTCGTTAAAAATTCATTGAACTTTATGCATCGAAACCAGTGGGAGAACATCTTTATTAATACCAAAGGTCCATATGAAATCACTGTCAAGGAAAATGGATGCATTATTTTCATTAGTGGACTTCCCAATGATCAAATAATAGTCACCAGCAAACATTCAATGGGACCGAGAGTGGGAGAGGTTGCGCATGCTGTGAAGGGTGAGGAGTGGCTCGATAAGCATCTGGAAAAAGTGGGGAAAAATAAGCAAGAACTAGCAAGATTTTTATACAAACGCAAGTTAACTGCTGTCGCCGAGGTATATTTCAACAGATTAATTGCTTAAATTCAATTATCCTAATCTTTCAAATTCCTTTCACAACAATGTTCAAAGCTTTGCGATGATGCATTTGAAGAACACGTTCTACCGTATACTTCTGATCGTCGTGGTCTCTATCTCCATGGAATAAACTACAATATATCTGATCTTAAAACGTGGCCCAGTAAGTATGTTCAAGAATTCGCGAAATACTGGGGATTTATACCTACCGCCTTCTATGTGAAGGACAGCGCAGAGGAAGTTAAGAAGTTCACGGACGATGTCAGAAAGAAGAAACTATTAGATGGAAAACCAATCGAAGGATTTGTTGTGAGAGCAAAATTCGAGTCCACGGATAAAGACTTCTTCTTCAAAGTCAAATATGATGACCCTTATCTCATGTATCGTGAATGGAGGGAGATTACCAAATCTCTTTTGTCTAAAGGGAAGCCAAAAGTCACATATCCTCTCAGCGAACAATATATAGAATGGGTAGAAGGAAAGATACACACGAATCCCGAGCTCTTTAGCGAATATACTCGTAATCGGGGAATCATTCGCGTGAGAGATTTATTCCTTGAACAATTAGATCAGCAATCCTATATTCAGACTGTGCTAACCGAGCATCAAGATGCCAAAACGTTGATTTTTCCCGTTGCCACAATCGGATGCGGTAAATATCTACATTCTCAGTTCATTCCCTTGTTTATTTTATTTCTATTGAGTGGTCTGTTAAAACAATGATCTTAGGAAAGACAACATTATTTCTGGCGCTTTGCACCTTATTCAAATTTGCTCTCGTTCAGAATGATAACATAACCGGAAAGAGAGTACGCGAAGAATTCCATAGCACTATTCTAAGGCTATTAGAGACCCAAGATGTTGTAATTGCGGACAGGTTTGTAATTTTGATATTCCAGTATTATTAATTGAATTACTTCGATAACATTCAGAATGAAATTCATCACAGAAATAATCATGTGCTTGAGCTTCGCAAGACTTTAATAAATACGGTTAGAGGGACTTACCCGAGTATTAGGATTATAGTCATTTATTGGAGTCACAGCGAACGTACTCTCGATGAAATCTTTAAGATAACATCACAGCGTGTTTCTGCTAGAGGAGATAATCACCAATCGCTTACGCCGGATAATCCGGATTACGAAAAAGTTATATGGAAATTCTTGAAGGACTTTGAACCATTGGATTCTAATAATGGCGTAGATGACAAAATTGATCATGTAATTGAATTGGAAATTCATAATGATGCGAAAACAAATCTCATGATCACCATTGAGAGGTTATGTTCATTACTTGGTGTTCAGATGCCGAGCGAAGACGATACTAACACCGCATTGAAGCAGGCATCAAATTACCAACCGAGTATTCGCAAGTTTGTTTCAAAGAAGGGTCATCAGAAAAAATCCACCAATCCTTCCTATTTTATGATCGCACTTGAGTTAAACGTGTCGAAATATATATCCGAATTTTTCGCAATCCATCCAAACGTTGACTCCAGAGTTTACGAGAAGTTGATCCGAAATAAGAGAATCCCCGATGAACATCATGTTACACTCATTCACGGAGCAAATATCTCTGAAGACCGGGAACTATGGGAACAATACAAGACGATGTGCGCGAATGAGCTTCCAAAAGTGAAAGTGTTTATTAACAAGTTGGTTTTCAATGAGGAGGTGATGACCCTCGTCGTCAATAATATCGAACCACCCCACGTTAGGAGCACGAACCGAGTTCCACACGTCACGGTGGGTACGATTGATAATTCGGTCAAACCTTTTTATGCGAATGAAATGTTGGAAAAAGCGCTCATAGAAAATAATAATACATCTGATGTGCATGTCATTGAATTGGATTCTAAGTTAGTTTGTGATGGTATCATTAGGCCTGTGAGGTAGAACAGCAACTGCATGTTTAATTATCAATAAGTAATTGCGATTTATACAGGGTCGTGGAAATTTCTTTGTAGAAATGTCGTATATGTTGTTAGTAAATCTCGCATGCATAAAATTTAAATTATATAATTTAGTTTATTGAAAATACAATTTAAAAAGAATAATATATCATTGTAATAGTCCGAATTTTAAAAAAAAAGAAAAGAAAATGACCTCACTCGTTCTTTATATTAATGAAAATACCGAGTGAATTGTTACCGAATGCTTAGTTACTGAAGCATCCTTTGACTTTTATCCTTAAACTTCTTTCTTCACCTATTCACCATTTTTTTACCAGCTTTTGAAGTTACGTTAAATAATATAAATACCTACCAGACAATAACTATTAAATAAACATCCCTGCTAATTTTTTGAATCCCTTTGATTCTGTATGATCATATTAAAACTCCGAGAACGCCGTCAATATGTATACCTACCCAAACTGTTAATAATAATTTCGATCAAATTTTTTGAAGACCCACAATTCATGGAGTCACTTGCTCCCTTCTCACCAGGCCTTACTCTCCTTTTTTTCTCCCAACGAAATCAATGACCCGTGATATAAATTGCGAGTCATGAAAACAGAAAGCAACTACCGCATGACCCACAAAAAAAAAAAAATTAAAAAATTAAAAGCAAAGTGGGCGACAAAAATCTGATCCTCTGTTAACTAGTAAGGACGATATCTAGAATTTTCCCTGCGTTCTTGTCGATCATCCGGTTTGTTCGGTCTTCCATAGTTTTGATCATAGCCACTATCATTATTTCGGTGGCCGCCGCCGCCTCCATAGCCTCTGTCGTCGTCGTTATAGCGGCTACCATAAGATGATGTTCCGCCACGACGACCCCTATACCCACCTCTTGGTGATCCAGAATATCGACCGCCGAATCCGCCTTCATTTCCAGGTGCGTCACTACGAGGCGTAGAACATCTGTAGCACTCGGTTCTTCTCGCAAAATTATTTGAATGGCAACTAAATACGAGTATGAAAGTGATACAGTCAATAGACTTCGCGCACACGCATAACGATTAATGATCGCTTAACAAACTTACTTTTCGCATGCCCAATCGCCTTCGCGCGGAGGTGGGCCCCCGCCGCGTCCACTACCACCACCACCACCACTGCTACCGCCTCTACCAGAAAATCCTCCGCGTCCTCTGCTTCTACTACCACGAGCTCTAAATCCCGAAGAAATCTTTCGCACCGACATCTCTACTTTTATATTCTTGTTTGATAAAAGTTAGAGTTAGCGGAATTGAATATAAACTTAGTTTTAATTAACTAACATTGAAAGTGGATAATTAAATTTATCACCTGGCCAAGAAATGGTTGGTTGTCAAAATACTTGATTGCTGCTGCAGTTGAGTCGGGATCCTCATACGTTAAAGTTGCTAAATTTTCGCACCATGATTTTAGAAAATATTTTATCGCATCTGACCTCATTAAAATGATTAAATTTTTAATTTACCATCTCCCTTAGGGAGACCGCTTGCTTTGTCGTAATATATCCATACTGTCAAAAAGCAAAAAAGATTTGTATTTTGAGGAAAAAACTTTAACACATCACAAAGAATATGAAATATTTTTCTTTTTCTTTTTTTTTTTTTTTTAGCATTTGCGCTATCGGCTTACTCTTCGGTTTCTGTGTTCTCTTGTCCATTTTTAACATTCCAAGACTACCGAAATATTCTGCCAACTTTTCTTCTGTAACTTCCTTGCTTAAATTCGAGATGTAAATCGTGTCGGTACTCTTTTGAGTCAATTGCTCATTCGAGAAATTATCTAAAATAATTATTTGTTATTCAGGAAAAATTGTTAAAGTGTAAATTAGGTTTGCATCGCATGAAATACGGATGCTTATATCAACCCTCTGAACGATTTCCTTAATTATTAAATGTACCATTTTCTTTGGGTGGTGGACCATATCCACCTTCCCTATTGTTATCATGAGATTTGTAGTTGCCAGCGTAATTTTCGCCATATGGATTTTTGCTTCCACCATAACTTGGGCCATCACCATAATCACTACCACGATCCGCATAAGCCGTCTTACTTGTTCCACCGCCTGAGCTGTATGGCGGAGCAGGCGAATTCGCAGATCCCCCTGTTGACGAGCTTGCCGTCTGATAACTCCCCGAAGTCGCCGATGCTGGATAATTATTATAGTTGTAACCAGAAGAATAACTTCCTCCTCCTCCTCCTCCTCCCTCATACCCATCACTCCTTGGATGAGAAGCATATCCTTGTGAGGTTGCTGGAGGTGGGGCTGTTTGCTGCTGAGGATTTGCACTGCTATTATTATTACCTGTCGTTGGAGAACTCGTGTCCTCATAGTAATAATCTGACGCTGAATACCCACTCCGATTATATGGTTCGTTATTATCTATGTGTTATATATATATATATATATTTGAAAGTTTGATAATTTTAGTGGTGTTGTGTTATTAAAATTATGTTAGCCGCAAGAGACCACGTCATGACTTTAAGATTAAAACATCGGTCTCTTTTTAGAGAAATCGAAGTGGTCTCAAAAAATTATGCACGCACGCACTTTCACCATACTTATTTTATAGAAAACCTACATTGTTGATAATGGTACCCTGAAGGAACGTCTTGTTGATTTCCGTAGTTAGAGTAATCCATTGTTAAGAGAAAAAAATATTCCAAAGATAAGCTGCAAGTGTTTTTTTAATGTGCTTGGCGTTCGTAATATTAATGATTGGTTCTTTTTATAATAATTGTGCCATTCTACACGTGAGATTTAGAAATGTATACTGTATGTGATAAACAGCTATAGTTATAGGTATAGGACAAAAATAACTGGGGATTAAAAATTCAATATACTGTATACAAAAAAATTTTTTTAAATTAGTAAAAGTTGCAAGTTGAATATTATTTTATTTATGAAGTTAAATTTGATATTATACTAAACTAAAAATATAAAATAATAATTTTTCTTTTATTTAATTTATAATTATGTTATAATAACTTGTTTTTTTTTTGTTTTTTTTTTAAGTGGCAAACTTCGAATAGATACATGATTTTATTGATATATAGTAATATATAATCAGTACATCAAATGTCTTCTACTATATCTTCATATATAGAGTTAATACTGCCTATAACTAAATATAGCTACTAAGTTATCACTTTTGATCTGACATATATTCATTTAACACCATCAAGGGTGTAACCACACATCGAGTGGAATCATATATAAGTGTGAAAGTCCTATCACTAGTTTAAATTACCACCTATTGGATCCTTCTAAGTCATTGGAAGTGTATACCTTTTAGGATTGATTAGAACACTTAGATAACCTATTCAATATTTTTCACTTGAAAGTTCGGAGAAGGTACTGTACTCATTCTCACCACCTGTGACTTTCGATCATCCTTATGAGGAATTACTTTCTTTTAAGCAAGTGCCAGATTGGGATAGCCTCAAGCTAGGACATTCTTTGTATTATGGAGTCTGTTGTACTAGGAGGGTTGTGAGCTTTTTATAGGAGTTAGATCAGAAACCTTTTCTCATGCAACCTTTTTTATTTCGACCTGATTTCAGTCCTCGATTATCAGAAAGATCAGAGGTTCCATTTTCATGCAACCTAATTGAGTTTGGGTAGGATTCAGATGATTGGGTATGACTTTCATAGGATAACTAATAACCTAATCAAAAGAATAATTTTGATTTTGGTTCTTAAGTGATATTGAACTACAGACCTTGTGATTGTAACCTGAAAGTACTACCACTATACTATATACCCACAGATTTTGTTATAATAACCTGTTTTTTTTTTTGTTTTTTTTTAACCCACAATCATATCACAATGGTATGCCTTTATTGAGATATTGAGAAATACCTAAATATTTTATAGACTTTTCCAAAGTAACTAACTCGTCATTGTACATTATTAGTTAAAGAACTATATTACTTAAAAAATATGAGAAGTCTATTAAACTAGTTCAGACTAAATAAAACTAAGTCTAAATTAGATACTCTAAGTCAGATTTTAAAACAATATTTCACTCTTCTAGTAGTTTGACAATAGTACCTCTAAGTTAATCAAAGTCATTATCAACAGTTTATCACTATTGATTATCCTGAAAAATGATAAATTGCTAAAGTTGGCACTGGGAAAAAAAGAAAAAAGGAATGAAAATTAAAGCCCTCCAAAAGGTTCATGCTTTATTTCACAGTTTCCTCTCAAAAGGGGTTTACCTGATTAAAATATTCTCTAAGCTTCATGACATTTAAGGAACTTAGTCATTTATAAAAGTGACTTCAAAAAGAACATTTAAGAAACTTATCATTCTTTCGATATATGAATTTACTTATCGCTAGTGAGGCCAGCACATATTATGGAAGAGTTTGCCTGATCAGGATAAAAAAATCTTTTCAAGAACTTTGCCTAATCAGGATAGAAACTTGAAGATCTCAGCTTTTGTTCAAGAAAGTCTTTTCACTACCTAAGGAACTTAATAAGAGATAAGAGTTGAATATTCTTTTGGTATCTATCACTCGCCTTTCGGTATTATAATTGTTTCTTGAAGATTAAACATATATGATTGGAGAGGACACTTTTTCTAGAACTTGCTTTCCTATATCACCAATGATATATCGAGACATGTAAGTATGATTAATAGAAGCTTGTTTACATTTCAAAAACTGACATGTTTTGTGTCAGCCAATTATCTTTGGTGAGGATTTGTGCTACCAAAAATTCAGGGTCAAACTAAGGTAGGCAAAATTCCTTAGAAAATCATGAAAGTGATAGCTCTAAGAGATCTACAAGTGACTGGAAGAGGAAAAATAAGCCCTTCTGTCATCAAAAATCTCTATATACCTCTTGTTTCAAAGGTTAAATAGGCTTTCAGGTACTTCACAATTAGTTCATCTTTTTTTAAAAACTTTCTTGTCATTGATATCAAAGGTATTGCTTGACTTTTCTTGATCACTAGAAGTCAATTTTTTGAGTAAAGAGGTTTGTAAACAATAGGAAAAGAGTAGAAGTGACTCTTGAAGTCATATTTCAAGTTGTTTTAAGGAAAATATTAAGACTTTATTAGCAAGGAAGTATAAAAACTTCTTGCGAACATCTTTTTTGTTTGTGGTTAGAGGATTAGCGGAAAGAGTTTTTGTTATAATAATTTATTTTTATTGAGAAATTAGAATAAAATCGATAATAATTTGTAAATTTTCATAAAATAATTAACTTATCTTCATAAATAAATACTTTAAGTCAAATTTTGAAATCAATATTATATTTTTCTAATATTATTAAATTAATTATTATCTATTAAACTTATTATCATATATTATACTACAGACTCTTTTCGCTAATCCTCTAATTATATACAAAAAAGATGTTCACAAGAAGTTTTATACTTTCAACAAAAAATAAAAAAACTCTTTCCACTAATCCCCAAATTTTCAGAAAATTTCCTTTTTTGCTAAATTTTTTGAAAAAAAGAGAACCAGACAAAAAAACAAGAAAAACCATCTTTATAATCAAACAACTTACAAAAACAAGTTCAAGAACTCTTTACAGAGTACAGAAGAAGTAAAATTATTAACTTCTACTATATAAATTTTTCTTTTAGAAAGAAAAAAACAACAAGAAAAATTGAATCACAATAAGCTCTTGAAAACCAACATCAATTTCATAAAGCTCTTAGCCAGGTCAGTGCAGATTAACATCTTTCTAGATACCATGAGAAGCTTTACAAGCAATAACTCAAACCGATAAATCAGTCCAAGTTCAAATACTCATAAAACCTAAAGAAACATCTAAGCTTCATTGACTATACAATAAAGAAGCATACACATCACAACAACAGCATTTCAATAATATTACATCACATAAATACAGACACATATATTTTTCACAACAAGCTCAAAGACATGTCAAATAAACAACGTTAATACACTTTCCATGTGTTTATACAAATCAATTATCAACAACCCCATAACCCCACGTGTTTATACAAATTAATTATCAACAACCCTATAATCCTATATGTTTATTATTGACTGATCACAATACTATTACAACATATATGTAAAACAAATATTATTATCATGTCATAACAAACAACAAGATTTTTTTATATTACCAAGAAATAAATAAACCTGCAACACATGTCTAAGAAAACATAGCAATGATTATCAGCAAAACATAATAATATCAAACACAGTCAACTTACTTCCTATCCCATGATCAACATATCTATGAAGAAATATAAGCTTTTACAGGTCACTAAGAAAAGAGAAGCATATATTATAGAGATATTAGCTCAATTATTAGACAAATATTATTAACAATGGAAACTATAGGCAATATAAACCCTTCTTAATATTACTTCAACTCAAGAAGTCACCATGAACCCCACCTCAGGTTCAACCTAATAATCGATTATAGACAGTATTATTGCTAAAATCCTAAATGTCTATTATAGCACCTTTATTAAAACCAATATTCTTAAACAATATATCCTTTATTTATAGATCAAAAAACAAGGAAAAGAAGAAGATCTTCTAGCTCCATTTTTAGAGAATAAATACTTGAACATAATAGAACAAGCTGAACAAGTACAATACTTTTCACAAAATATTATGTCAAGTCAGACAACACCTGAAAACAATCTTCCTATATATAGCTCACTAGATAAAGCAATCTCCATAGAAGTTCAAACAACCACAACAGTTGAAATCCCAAATATTATTGAAATTGGAATAGGAAATAAGGAGCTCGAAGATATAATTGAAATGGAAGTTATTAGTGAGAAGATTAGAGGAGAAAATATAGTTAAGCAATATACATATAAGACAAGAAATAGATTAAAGATATTCAGCATCAATCTCTTTCATATTAAGGTGAATGGTGAATATAAAATGGGTGTGTTTACTTCCAGGATCCTAGGAGAAACCGAAATAGAACAAATAATATATCTGCAAAATATATTAGGCTTGCCAAAAGATTTTCAGTCCTTCAAAAAAGAATTTATCAATAGTAATGTATGGACAACATTTTGTTGCGAAGAGGAGGAAGATACATTTTATTAT